AAAAATGACAAAGCACGAAAACCTCAATCTGACATTTCTGCAGTTGAACTGTTCTAAAGAAGACAGCAGGAGGACGACCCAGCCTCCTCAACAGACTTCTGGGGATTGTTCTTCGACAAACATTGGTTGTCTTCTTTAGAACGAGCAAAGAGGAAGGTCGCCAGCTTGCTATAGCTCAACATTAAACTCAACGCATACATACAACACTGTGACATAACACACACACACACACACACACACGAATGATGCTATTCCCTGCAACTGGGCTAAATGCATTGTCTGGTGAGCAAGGGCTTCACTGTCAATAGTAGAACTAGAAGAGAGTGAAAGGATGCAAATCATGTTCACCTTGGTGTGATTGCTGTCATTCTCTTTTCCCAAGGCCTGGAGGACTATGCATCTGAGTTTGTCTCCCTGCGTTTACTGGTGTCCTTAATGTCTTTAAGAATAGGAAACAGCAAAAGTCTTTTCCACTGCCTGTAAATTTCTTGTTCTTCTATGCATTTTAAAACAGGTTTGTTTTAACGTGTAGAGTAGAGCTCAGGTCATGATGCTCTGATGTTGCCTAAGCATAGTGCTGAGTGGGGACCACAGGCCAAGGGACCACAGGCCAAGGGATCATCAACCCTTAGGCTGTAAAACCTGCCTGCTGGTCCTGTTCCAAACTCCAACACTGCGATTCTCCACCTCTGCTCAGTGTTATCAGGCTCTGCAGTAGATCTGATAGTGCCTCATCTGGTAGGCCTTTAGAATTTAAGGATGACACAGAATTTAGGCTTATTTGTAAGAGACCCTGAAGTGTTTTTCCCTGTAATTAATAATTTTGCTGACGCATGTACTTGAAATGCTATGGTAAAATGCTTGTGTACAGTAGCAAATAATATGGCTAAGAGCAGCTATTCTATCTCAGGACAGTTTCCTTGTTTGCTACTCAACAAGTAGGCCCAGACTATCACAATATTCTGCAGGGGCTTCCAATTTAAGATTCTGGAGGATATCTGGACAGAGCCCTTTAGTCTGTAGTAGTCTGAGTACATAGAGGACTAACAAGTAGCCTCTGAGAATTGCTCAGCTTTGTTTGCTAGTATGTTTGTGGCATGCCTGTCAGTTTGTCCTAGGGATGCCTCCCCATTACACTAAAACAGGACTGAGGCAAACAATGCATTTGGTTGAATGAGCCCATTAACATTCAACCACAGGTCAATACAGAAAGCAGCCAAGCCCACTGGAAAACCTAGGAGCCATGAACTCTTCTGAAGACAGATTGTGTTAAAATAGGATTGTGAAAACATGGGCAGCCACATGGCAATAAGACTAAAGGATCAGGAAGTCTCCTATCATCTTAGTCTGTAGAGAAACTCCACCTACTGAGGTCATCTCCCCACCTTCCAAAAATAGGTTTTCAGGTCAGAATTCTGAAAATCTTTATGTCATTTGGCTTATTTGGCCTATTATGGACACGAACTTAATACTGGTTATGATACATTTATTTCCCATATTCCTTTTTCCACTAAAAGTCACTAGAGATGCAAGGAAAACTTTCAAAGTGATCATTACAGCCAGAGATGATACAAATAGATCTCTTAGGATAGAGAAACAGGGTCTCATTGCACAGAAGAAAAGTTCTATGGATTTCAGTCAACATTAGCTCAGTATGTTTTTAAAAATATAAAAATTATACAAAACAAAAACAAAATATAATTGGTCCTATGAGGCACTCAAAAGATAGAAAAAAAAGTTTTTTTACCTTGAGATAATAAAAATAGTTCTCCTTATTGGATCTATAAAATCTAATGTTCATTGGCCATTATCATCTTTACAAATAATTGGTTTTGAGCAATAATGTTCTCATTCACAAAAGTGTCTCTGTTCTTAAAGAAGATGGTTAAAGCCTCATTTCATTTCCTCTGAGGCCCTCCTTTCTTTCACTGGCCTTGGCTTGCACTGAGTTCTCCATACAAAAATGATAACTTGTCCAGAACTGCTCAGCAAAAGCTAAAATTCACATTCAACTTGAAGACTGAAAACTTAACAAGTAAACCTTTTCTACCTTCTTTACACATCCTTGGAGGTCCTTCTGTAGCTTTACATTTGGTTGGCCCCTGGGGGGAAGACCGTTCAGAAACAAAGGCCTGAGGATTCTGGAGAGTGACCAAGCACCTCACTGGACCCCTTCTTCATCCAGTGATTACCATGGCCAAGAGTACGATGGCCCACAAACACATCTACTGTGTCCCTGAAAGAGACACATGGAAAGCCATGTAAGACCAGAGCACTGTCTCTTCTTTTCCAGAAGTAGGAAAGTGTCTGGTGTCTTCTCTCTGCATGTTTGCTTGTAAGATATTCTGATTTACGGGAGAAATGTCTTTAAAACCCATTACTGAATGCCTACTTTCCATAGTGGCCTGAATGCAGTCCCCAGAACATTTCCCTAAAGAATGGCTCTAAGTTAGCTGAGAGATTAAAATCTATAAAATAATAACATATATGAAAATGGCTAATGATGATACAGTTTAATACTGGACATGTCACCCTGAAAAAGTGCCTTGCCCTTAAAGAGCTTAAAAAACTCTGTGAGAATGGGATTCTTTCTGTAACACAGGTGAGTGTTTGCTTTGGAAGATGTTTCCAAAAGGCAGCTCGCTGGGGGTTCTTATTGTCAACATGCTTTCGTCACTGTGGAACCAGTTATCAATTCTGAACCCAACTTTATTCCTTCCAGATCACTTTAAGAAAATTTGAATCAAGTGGTGAGAGGAGAATGAAAACTGAAACCTCTGTCCCAAATTCAGAAGAAAGGAAGCTTCTTTCTTCTTGATCAACAACCACATTTCCCCTTCCTTAGACAATATTCCCGTTTGTATATGTAAGACTTATTTTTTTCTAAGCAGATACTTCTTACATTTCCAACAATAAGCATTAGAGAAAGAAAAGGATATTTCAAATATACAAAACACAATGGAAATCATGTTAAAAATGACAACTTTCAAAGATCTTCATAATAGATTTTAAGCATATCTATTACAAGGAAGCAATTGTGTATGAAAAGTTGATGTACTAGGCTCATGATAACATGAAATCTGAGTGATTTAAGAAAAAAGAAAAAACCCGTGAGAATAAGATTTATATTTGAAGTGAAGATTTCCCCACATCTACTTGTCATAATAGCTCTGTTGAATTCTACAGGTTCAAACAACTTTTAGTCAAACTACTATTAGTGTTATTTTAAACTCAGGTTAGATCATGTTATACACCACTAGATGGCACCATGTGCAAATGATAGGTTCCCCACCCCACCCCCGCACCCCATGCACATGGGAGAAGCCCGGCTTTCTTCACAAGCCGTGTAGAAGCAGGACATGGCAGACGGGATGGTGAACGAAGTGGTTCCCTATGAAATGAACTGTTGCATCTAGATCTTTCAAGTTGGAAAAAAAAACAAAACCTAACTAGCTACTACTCCAAAGGAGAAGGAAAGCAGAATTTTTAGTGAAAATTATTTGACATATGGTATGTTGTAGTACAGTATAGAAGCTGCCCTTCACTGGATGGGAAACATAACAGAGTTCTATGGTAGATAAGCAACTCACAGCAATCCATCACTCTTCCTTTTTCTGGTTGTGAGGGGCTCAACCGAAAAACAAGCATCTGAAGTGAACCCCAATGGCCCTGCAGTAATATTGTTCCTAACACGCTCACTAGTCCTGTGCCAAGTGACTTATCATTAAAGCTTTTAGTAAAAATTTTGGAATTTATTCATCTATTTTTACCTAATTTCTCCCTTCTACTTTTCACAAGCATGGAAGTTCAGAACTTGAGAATCCAGTTCAGATTTCTAGTTCTTGATTTCTACTGACGATACCCAACTCCAGTAAGGAATCAGTCTTGACATGTTTATTTGCTTCTTAAGAACACCTATTTAAGGGTTCTGACTTCAGTACAAATTCACTGGTATAAACATTATCCACTGAACTTGTTATTAGTACAATCTTCCCTTTCCACAATCAGTAGAACCAATATTTTTATATATGGAAATTCCAATGCACAGGGTGATCAGAGAAGGATTATAGAATTTATATCTAAAACAGAAGACAAGAAATAAATGGTGTGAAGAAAGAGGCTCCATATCAACAGTCCCTCAATGGTGAGGATGGAAGGGTCTGAGAATATCAAGAAGTAACAGAATAGAGAGGAAATGTATGTCAGAGGGTGAGTGAAAATCTATAAAATGATTTCTAACTGAAATCTAGATAGCATCCCACCCTAATGCAAACCACAGTCATATTTTGAAGGTTCTTATTCAAGCACACAGGTCCTTTGGGTTCAGCACAGGTTTGGTTACTGAGCTATTGATTCTTCCTTCCTATTGACCTGTTGAATGAATTGGGTCTCCTTATTAAAACAAAGAGCTTGTGATGGGTCCTAAGGAAAGTCATAGTTTCCATCATAGTAGTCTGTTGATTAACACTTTGTAGTATAAAAGGGCTAATTAAATAACCTTTGCAAATGTTACTAAATATTATTAAAGTAAAGATTAAGGGAGGGGTGAGAAAAGCATACCAACTTCCTACTGCTGGATGAACTTGTAGGATTGGTCTTGATACCAAGAAACCAAGACAATAGAATTATCAGAATTTACACCTAGTTAAGAAGGCTAGAATGGTAGGAGTCCCATGACAGGATAAGAAAATTAAATGTAATTAAGGAATGTCATCTCTCAGTGAAAAACATAATGCAGAGATGCAAAGACAAGACTTGAAAGCCAAACAAATACAATTGCAGGTTAGAATAGTTCTCTTCCAAGTCAAAACTATTTGAAAGGCATAATGTAGCCCAGGCAAAAAGCTAGGTGACTACTTAAATGATCCAAATCAGAGTTCATTGTGATCTTCAGATGATGAATAAGATTGGAGTCATCTCAATGGAAGTCCAGCATTTCAGAACCTTGAGATGATCTCATCTCACCCCTATTTTACAGGTAAGAAAACTGAGTTCCAGTGCCAAGGTAGCACAGCTAGACAGTAGTAAATCCAAGATGAGAACTGGCTTCCTGATTTCCGGGTCAAAGGCTGTTCCCCCAACCACACTGCCCCTAAGATAGACAAAGCATGATTGATATTCAAAACTATGAGATGAAGTGACTTTCCTGGAGAACCCTTGTCATGATAAGACTCAGAGGAGAAAGACCCTGCCTGAGCAAGCTGAAAGAACCAACAGGCAGAGCCAGTAAGATTTTACTACCTTTCCACCACAGAATGGTAGAAGAAAAATAGTTGGTCAAAGAAGCAATGCCAATTGGATTAAGCTGGTGACCATACCAACCTTGATATAGGAGAAAAGGAGGCAGGTCTCATCAATACCAAATACTAACAGTACTGCTAACTAAAACCAAAGTTAAGAAAATCTTTATACTAGAATACCTGTAGATACTCATCGATAATAACAATAATAATAATGACAACTTTTTTAAAAAACAACACTTGAAATTTGCATATTACAAACACACGTCATGAAGAAATGTCTGTGTGGTTGAACACGAATCATTGTTTTCCCTGCAGAGCTACAGCTTTATTCTCAAAGGGTATCATATCCAACCCCCCTGCCCCCAGGCATAAGGAATCTTAGTCCTTTCTCCTTTATATTTGGACTCTCCACTTCCCTGATACAAACAGTAACACTGGATCTGCAAGTTCTACAAGTTCTAGAAACAGAAAATTGATGGGAGGATTATCTGAGACACAAGATGTACACAATTTGTAGCAAAAGTCTGTGATTTCTCTGTAAATTGCTAATCTGAAATAGACACAACAAGCCGTCCACAGCTTCAACTTCAAATGATTTAAACAAAAATAGAACAAGCCATGGACAGTGTCTGCATCCCTGTCCAATCTGATGTAAACAACATTTGTAGAAATTGGGTTTGTTAAGAAAGTTTATCCATATATCTGGATAGCAATAAAAAGCGTTTCCTAGGAAACTGTAAGATCCTGTACCATACAGCATACAGCCCAACTAAGAGGAAAAGTAGATTGATTTCTAAATTCAAGGTACAAATTTACACAATTTTTCTTAACTTCCTTGGTGTTGTCTGAATAAAGTAGGCCTGGACGTTGGTAGTTGCATCTGTTCTCTTCTCTCCCACTGCCATCTTGCTTGTGAAGCTCATTGGTCTGATTTCCTCCTCAGCTGTGTTTCCCCTGGACAGTCACAGACTCCCTGTGCATTTTCGTCCTTCATTTTCAGTTCCAGTGTGGTCAGTACTGCCCTTCTGCTGCTAAAGACACTACTGTTTCATGTCTTCCCATTTCTTCCAAGACAGCTGCCAGCATACTCAGGTTTCCATCTGGGAAGTTCTGTGCTTCCCAAAGATCCAGGATTACACCAGTTGGGCTCGATTTGGTGGCAAAGTAATTCAAGTACCTGTAATTGGGAAAAAAATGTGCTGAAAGGCATGATTACAGATTTCTTTTCTCTTCTGGTTTAACTTGGTTAAACTTTTCTGTCTCTCCATCTGTCTTGATGTATCTCAGCCCCACTGTGGCTTACAATGAACCATCCTAAATGACTAGCCCACTCTTTATTAGATCAGCTCAGCCAGAAGATGCAATGTTTAACTCTGTTAACCTCAACTCTGAGTAAGATAATTTAAGAGACAAGATTTCTATGGGTCATATTCTGAACAGGAAATCAAAAAACCTTGTGTTTTCATTCCAGCCCAGGCTCTGATGATCTTTGACATGTCATGCAATGTCTTTTTTATGGTACAATGGCAACATTCTATGAAGTAGAGGCTCCTAAGTTCTCTTTATGCTTAATGTCAGTGTTGTATTAGCATGTTAATTATTCATCAAGCATTAGGTCCTCTTTAACTGGAGATAAGGGACAATAATTACTTTAGTGAGTAGATATAGTAGTTACTGAGGGGGATTTAGCCCATCAGTTTGGCAAAGGAGATCACAAAACTTGATACTTACAAACCCAGAAATCTCTTAGAACTATACTTGCAAGCCTACTGCACTCAGTATAAAGAAGAGTTTAATGTTTACAGAACGAAAACATAAATAGACCTATGAATGGAAAAAAATAAATGTTGCCAGTATCTAACTGTTACCACTCCTGGGGAGCTGTGCCTAACAGAAAACAACCTGTCCTGAAGTCTGGCCACACCCACCTGTCCAGATTCAGTTTATGGGCCAGCATCCTCCAGTCATGGCCTCTCGTCTGTGGGGCATCCAGGCTGCTGCATAGCTTCTGCCGGATAGGAAGCGGGATGCTGAAAGCGCTTGGCCCCGTGACAGTGGTGATGGTGCTCGCGGGATCCAGCAGAGGCAAATCGATGCCTGTAGGTTCCTGTAGGAACAGCACAGCTTTATTTCTGAAGACAAAGCAATTCTTATTGAGCCAATCAACATAATGCCTTGCTTTGAGCAGTTAGAGAGAATGAGTGGTATTATTCTTCTTGGGAAGAATACTTTCTTCCTGGCCTGAAAGTTGTGAGTCACTATAGGTAATCTGACAGAGAGGAAGAAAGACATTTTGGCCTTGCATTCAAGGGTCTTTGGTCAGGACTGGGCTGGAAGGAAAGCTCTGGTGTGATTCCAAAAGGTCTTTCCATAGGGGATTCTCCTGGAGGAGAGAGAAGAGAGGCAATGTCAGTGCTCCTACAGACTTAAATTCCAAGAGGGAAAAAAATGTTTGAAAGAGTAGTTCTTTGAGAATGGACGGATCTGAGATTAGAAGGGTGAAAGGCAGAGATTCCAGAAATTGTCCAATCCTGAAGGGATTACCCTAGGCAACCACCCCAGTAACCTCCTTGAACCTTGCAGAAGGTGGCTCATTGCTGCTCTCACTGGATGAAATGGAACAAGTCAAAATGACATCAAATTAAGACAATTTATAAAAAGAAAATGGTAAACACAGTATATTGCCTTAGGGCAAGCTGCTAACGGCATCTTCCAATTGCTGAACATACTTTTTTTTTAAATCTAATTTTAGTAGAGAAAACTATAAATTGGCTCTTTAAAATAGTTTCAGCTCATAAAACAGCACAAATGCAAAATCTGAATTTCATGTGCAAGAGAAACTCTAATCATTTTCTGATCACTTCTGCTGGTTGGAAAAAGCAAAAGCAAATGTTGTCTGGAAACTATTAAAGAAATAAAAGAAAATCTACTTAATCTACTTTAAATCTCTCTCTTTTTATCCCTCCCTCCCTCTCTTTCTTCCTCCCTCCCTCAAACAGGTAACTCCTTGGTGTGCATAATGAGTTGTTGTAGAATAAACCAGCCACACAGAGTGTCAGCCATCACAGTGTCTGTGATGTCTTACTGAGCATGCAGCTTCAGGAGTGGTCAACACCACAGTTGCCCAGAGTCCCCAGACTCTGCCCTGTGCTGCCTCAGTGGTGGCCTCCACAGACACATGGTACTGGTACTGGGGGAGGCAGGTGGGGTCTCAGTTGCCTGTGTTCCAGCACGACTGGTAGCATATGCTGTTTTCCAGGATGAGTAACCAATGTTGACTTCTTGGTTTGTGTAATCCTACTGCCTGGAGGACATTTTCTAGTAAAATTTCTTTTGCATAATACGCACAGTGGTGTTGGCTGTGATTAGTGTTGGACCTCAGAATCCAAAGCTTTCCAATGGAATCCAGAGCAGATTCCATTGGTTCCTTGTGTTAGCTCCAGCACACAACAGTATTTGAAGGACTGTGGTTTGAAGTGCAGAAGAGCCCAAGAGGACTTGGAGTCTCTGAATGAGGATCACAATCTTCAGCTTTTGTCCCATCAGGCACAGAACTCTTTCCAAGAGACATAGAGAAAGTTCCTGACACTGGGACCATAGGACTTAAAGAAAGGTAAAGACAAGAGTGATCTGAGGGAAGGTGTCAGTGCTTGCTAATGGATTTATGCTTGGAATGTCTGAACCTATGCCCCAGTGCTTAGATCAGGCACAGAGCCCTGTATGGATGGGTGAGAGTAGAGGCAAAGAGGCATCTCATGCTATTTTCACAACCCAGTGTCATCACCCCTATTGAAGTCTTGCTTGCCACTCTTTTGGACAATAACAATGTGGCCTAAAGACAAACTTAATACAACCCACCAAGAAATCCCTGAGTGGCAGTGGAGGTTAAAGTCTGTACAGAGAGGAATCAGTGTTGTGGAGCACTGACTTGTGTCCCCATACAGGCTCCTTATTACTGTTGGCCACAGTAAGTCCCTATTGCAAACCATCCTGCATACCTGCCAGACTAATCTTCCCAGTATCGCTGAGGGGAGTATCTCTTCTTATTCTCTCATTTATGAGGTGTTAAATGCCCCTTCTTCTGCATAAAGTTCCAACTCTTTTAAAACATTTTTATCAATATGTGATATTCATACATATTAATGGAGCTCAATTGATATTCCCATACATGTATGAAGTGTGCACTCACCCGATCCAATCACTCTCTGTAACCCACAGTAATTACTATTCTACCTTAGGTTCACTTTTTTAGCTTTTACAATTGAGAGAGGCTATATGGCACTTGCCTTTCTAGTCTTGCTTATTTTACTGAACAATGACCTCCAGTTCCATTCATTTTACTGCAAATGACAGGATTTCATTCCTTATGGCCAAATAATACTGTATTGTGTGTGTGTGTGTGTGTGTGTGTGTGTGTGTATATATATATATATATATATATATATATATATATATTTTTTCTTATTTGTAGAAGAGTACCTAGGCTCATTCCATAACTTAGCTATTGTGAATAGTGTTGCAATAAACATAAACAGTCAGGTATCTCTTCAGTATGTGGATTTCATTTCCTTTTGATATTGCCCAGAGTGGCTATATCTATTTTTAGTTTCTTAAGGAACCTCCATAATGGCTGTACTAATTTATATTCCCACCTTTTCCATATCTTCATCACTTTCTCCATATATTCATCAGCATTCATCATCTTTTGTCACTCTGATGACAGCCATTCTAACTGGAGTGAGGTGACATCTCATTGTGGTTTTGACTTGCATTTCCCTGATGACTAATGATATTGAGCAGTTTTCCCATATATTTGTAGGTCATTTGTATTTCTTCTTTTGAGAATTATCTATTTAGATCACTTACCCATTTTTATTGGGTTACTTTTTGTTGTTAAGTTTTTGAGTTCCTTACATATTCTGGATAGTAACCTTCTCTCAGATAATTAGCTGGCATATATTGTCTTTTCACTCTGTTGATTATTTATTGTTTAGACACTTTTTTAGTTTGATGGAATCCCAGTTGTCAAGTTTTGCTTTTGTTCCCCCCTGCTTTTTTTGGTCCTATCCAGAACACCACTGCCTAAACCAGTGTTAAACCAATTCCTCCATGTTTTCTTCTAGTAATTTCAGAATTTTAGGTCTTACATTTAGGTATTGATCCATTATGAGGTGACAGATAAAATCAAGTTTCAGTCTTCTGCACAAGGATATCCTGTTTCCTCAGCACCATTTATTAAAGAGCTGCTCCTTCCCCAATGTGTGTTTTTGATGATATTGTTGAGAATTAGTTCAACGTAGATACATAGATTTGTTTCTGGATTTCTATTCTGCTCCATTGTTTTCTATATGTCTGTTTTTGTGCCAATACCATGCTGTTTTGATTACTATGGTGATGTGATATGTGTTAAAATCAGGTATTGTAATGTTTCTGCTTTGCTCTTTTTGGTCAAGTTTGCTTTGGCTATTTAAGGTCTTTTGTGCACCCATATGAATTTTAGGATTGTGTTTTATACTTCTATGAAGAAAGTCATTGGTATTTTGATGGACATTGCACTGATGCATAGAATCTGTAGAATACTTTGGATAGGATGGACTTTTTAACAATATCAGTTCTTCCATCCATGAACATGAGAGGTCTTTATACTTTTTGTCAGTTTCTTTCAATGGTGGTTTGTAATTTTCATTGTAGCTATTTCCTTGGTTAAGTTTATTCCTAGGCAATTTTTTTCTTTTGTAGTTATTGTGAAGATTGCTTTCATGATTTCTTTCTCAGCAAATTTGTTATTGGCATATGAAAAAGCTACAAAAATTTGTATGTTGATTTTCTAGCCCACTATTTTATTGAATTTATCAGTTTTAATAGTCTTTTTTGGAATCATTAGGTTTTTCTATGTATAGAATCATATAACATGACTTCCTCTCTTCCTATTTCTATGCATTTTACTTTCTTCTCTTGCCTAACTATTCTGGCTAAAACTTCTACCTCTATATTGAATAAGAGTGGTGAGTCTTGCCTTATTCCTGATCTTACAGTAAATGCTTTCAGTTTTTCCCTATTCAGTATGATTTTGGCTGCTAAAGGCTTTACTTTGTTCAGGTATGATCATTCTATACTTAATTTGTTAAAGTTTTTTTTATCATGAACAGAGTTGAATTTTATCAAATGCTTTTATCTTCATCTATTGAAAGGACCATATGATTTATATCATTCTTCTATTGACACAGTATGTTGCATTTATTAGTTTGCATGTATTGAACTATCCTTGCATCCCTGGGATGAAATCTACTTGATCATGGTGAATGATCATTTTGATGTGCTGTTGAATCCTATGTGCTAGTATTTGGTTGAGAACTTTTGCTTCTATGTTTATTAGGGATGGTGGTCTACAGTTTTCTATTTGTTTTGTTGTTGTTCTTATCTTTTTGTCTGGATTTGGTAATGGGAGTATATTCTGGATTCATAGAATGAGTTTGGGTTCCTTCCCTTTCAATTGTGTATAATAGTTCGAAAAAAATTGGCATTAGTTCTTCTTTAAACACTTAGTCTAACTCTTAAGCACAGAGGGGCGTTTGTATGATCTGCAGAAATTAGGACACAGAAATAATGCATATAAAGTGTGGAGCTATGCATGGTATAGAGAGGTCCCATAAACATGTGCTTCTACCACTTCACAGTCTGACCCCAATCCTTTTCATGTTGTCCCATCCTGTGTGTAACATGACTTGACTCATATTTTCCTCAGACTGGACCACTTAATATTCCTACTGCTAGAAAAAAGGACACTTTGTCCTTTTTCTCAATTGCTGTCAGGCAAACTCCTCAAAACCTGGTCCAATTGATGTGTCCTGAACAAACTCACTAAAGGCATCCTACCTAGAGGCCTCCTAGGGCATTTTCACAGCTTTTCTGCATTCCTCACATTAAGCCCTGAATACTTTGGTTGTGTTCATCACTTCTTTTGATCTTTTTCAAATTTCTTAGAGGTGGGAGCATTTTTGTTAGTCTTAGAACCCCTATGATATCCAGTACTATGCCTTGTACATTCAAGCTGCTCAATTAATACTGGTTGGGATGAGACAAAAAATTTTTCCTGCTATTGAAAGA